TCTTATAAAATCTTCCTACTCTCTGCCTCTCACATCATCATCCATCACTGTCAAAACCCTGCCACCTTGCTTCCTTTACCCTCTGATGGGATGCCCCACAGTTGTGTCATTAACATGAGATTATTATCCTGTCCTAGGCTAGATTTATCAGAAAACTTCCTCTACCAGGTTGACTTGACTCTTCATGTCAAAGTTTCCTACCTCCAGAAGGAGGATGGGGCCTTCCAGGCTGGATATGCCATCCCTGATCAACATAAACCTCTAGGAGAATATTGAGCCCTGATGAATATCAAGTCAGCCCAGGCAGCCAAGTTAACTGCTTTTACTAGGGCTCATATAAGAGCAGGTATGAAGGTTAACATTTATACTGATAACTGCTATGCTTTTCGGGTAGTACATGATTTTGATATGTTATACAAACAGACAGGATTCATGACAGCAGCTGGTATCCCAGTCAAAAATGGACCCCAAATAGCAGAACTTCTAGAGGCACTGTCATTACTACAGCAGATCACTGTAGCTAAACCCAGGGACATTGCACAAAACATTCAGAAGAAGCCTGAGGAAATGGATTGGCTGATAAACGTACCATATTAGCAGCCTCTTCCCTAACCACCAAGAAATCGGAGCAGTCTCCAAGCTTTGGAACTATGCCTCCTGCATCCCACTTCGAGGGCCTAGACCCTGGAGGGGATTTCTTACCTTCCCTTGAGGGAGCACACTAATTGGGGATGATGCCTAAGGAAATCATAAAAGAAACCCACGCAGCCCAAATGACAGCTCAGACTCAGAAAGAATTGGATGGGGAAAGCTGGATGTTCAAGCTATTCAGAAGGACTTTGGAAACACCAGGACGGCTGCTTGGTAGCTCTTAAGTCTATCTGTCTAGTCATTGTGCGTGGATTACAAAACATGACTCACACAGAAAGGACAGAATGCAGGATATATTAGACAACAGTTTGGGCCCTTTGGCTTTTATTCAGACCAAGCCATTGCCATTTGCTTCGAATGCCAGAAACACAATCCTGGAAAAACTGCAAAGGTAGGGCAAGGAGGGGAAGCAGCACCTCCGAAGGCCCTCCTTCACTGGCAAATTGATTTTATCCAGTTACTGAAAGCACAAGGCAACCAACACATACTGTCTTCTGCATGTTTTCTAAATGGTTAGAGACTTTCCTCTGCTGAAATGCCTCAGCAGCTTCAGTTGCCAAAGTGTACCTGGAACAAATCTGCTCCACTTGGGGTATTCTCTCTCCCATCTCTAGTGACAGAGGATCATATTTCATTGGTAAAATTATACAGGAAGTTGAAAGACGATGCATTAGTCAAAGACTCCACTGCCCTGACCATCCTCAGACTTCAGACACCAGAGAAAGAGCTAACAATATCCTCAAGACCAGGTCGGCTAACCTGTCTGAAGAATTGGACTTACCCATGGCCATCAGTGCTGCCCATGCTCTTATGGCTCTTGGGTCTTTACCCCTATCTCCACATAAGCTATCCCCTTTGAAATTATCATGGGAAAGCCCATGCGGGTGCCTTATTCATTTTGCCTAGTGGAAGATTCTAACTTAATTCAACCACACATTGTTAGATACAGTCAAAGATTGACAAAATATGCTCAATCCTATAATCAACAAGTTAAGGCTTCCCTTGACTGTCTTCCCATTAGAAATTCCAGATTACCCCTCACATGACGTATTCTGGAAATGCCACCATCAGGAAACTAGTCTTGAGCCCAGATAGAAGGGACCATATACCATTTAACTCATTGCTAACACTGCTGTCAAGTCACAGGATGGTGGTCCAAACTTGGGTTCATGTTTCACAGCCAAAAAGATACAAAACTATTCAGACTGGAGAAGTATTCCAACTGGAGACTTCAAACTGAAGCTCAATCGGGAACTTCCGGAAGCAGGTGATAGCCAGAGCAGAGAGCTGCCTCAGGAACCATGGAACAAGTAGACGACACCAGGAGGCAGTCACTTACTCCTAAGAGCACAGACCAAGACCCACCTGGGTCCCTCCTCCTCCTGTGCTTCCTTCTCCTGCCCATTTGCCTCGAGACACTCCACCCTTCCAACAATGACTCCCTGACATGAGTCTTCACCTTCACCTTTCTGTCCCTAAATTTAGGAGTTCCTGCACCTCTCCCACTCCGCTCTTTTCCCTGCCTCTCAGCAAGACTATTTTCCCAAAGATCCTGTAAGCTTGGGCCATACTAGTTGCCACTTCGCATAACACCACAGACAGCTGGTAATGTCCTCCCTTTCCGGTGAGCACATCTGGCATTTCCCGTATCCCTTGATCAATGCAGATACCTATTTTGCTATAACTCTCCCGCTCTTTCCCTCCACCAGGAAACTGAATGATTACCCATTGTAGAAGTCACCCCCCCGCCCCAAACTTATCCCAGTCTGTCCTCACCAGGGTCATATCTGTTATCATCATAATTTTACCACAAGCCCCTTTGTGAAAAGGAGATTGATTTAGGCCCTGCCAAATGTATCAACATACTAAACATTGATACACTTACCTAACTGTCTCTAAATCCAATGTAAAATGCCAAGCCTGTAAGGGGATCCCTGGATATGAATGGAAATGTCCCCACTGCCCAACTCAGGCTGATTTTTCAGACCCAACCCAACCACACATGGACCAGCTTCCCACCCTCAAAATTAGCATTCTTTGGTTACCCTCAGCCATCAGATAACTATTTCTATGACCCCTGGGCAACTCCTGATGATTCTTACATAGTTGTGGAACCCAAACTTATTGGCTGTTGCCTGCCAAATGGACCAGATCTTGCTACCTCACCGATATTACCAATCCTTTCATCTCTGTCCCCGACAATATTCTTCCTTTCTTAAACTTTCTCTAAAGCAGTTGCCCAGGGAAAGTGTGCCACCTTCTGGGTACCATCCCCAGGAATCTACCCCTGGACTCAAGGAGTCAGACTCAACAACAGAACCATCTATTTATTCATTGCTGATGCTATTCACCTTGTCCCTGGATAAAATTGTCCCTGGCCTTGAATCAGTGGCTTCCTGTTCAGGGAACCTGAACAGCACCCTGTTCTCCATTGCTGCATGGCCCTCACTGTGACCCTGGCTGCAGAAGGCAGCACCTGCACAATGGTCAGAAGCAGCTGCTGCTCTGTTGTCCCTGGCAGTCTACCTGACATCTTTGCTATGACCAGGAAGGTTTGAAGAGATGAATGAAGCATGAGTGCATCATTGACATTGTGCTCACACCAGGGAGGAAAGACAACATGTCGTGGGTCTTCGGGTAGATCCCCATGGTCTACAAAGGTGGGCACACAGGTCACTTCAGCTCTAATTGTTGTCTTTCCATTTATCTTGGAGGTAGCCCTCTCATTCAGTGTCTTGAGGACTGTACAGTATAACAATTCTCAACCATTGCCAAGTCTCAACACATGGGGCAGCTGGTTCTAAACAAATAAAAGGCAACCATATGAGAAATGGACTTACATTGTTCAGAGGAAAGAATGCCTTTTCTTCTCTTGAACAAGAGGGGGTACTGACAGATTCTTTGCTTGACTAAACTTTAGTCAGGCTCCCCTGAAGCCCATCCCTGTACTTCCTGAAGGATCCAGTTTTAGCAAGAATCCTGCATAGTCAGTTTAGCAAGAATTCCCCACCCTTAATATCTGATCAAAACTCCTCATCTCCACCTCTCCAGGTGATATCTGACCACCCTGGCCTGCCTTTTACCAGAATCCCCCCAGACTTGATGACCCCTCTTAGTACTATTTTCCTCCCATCAATATTACTCCCACCCCACCCCAGCTGTAAATCTCCACTTGTTCTGTTTATATACTAGTCTCTCTTCCCCATTGCAATTTGTTTTTGAGTAAAATCTATCATTGCCACTTTAACTTCTGTCCTTTTTAACAATGCTCTTTTTCTTCACCTGGCAGGTTGGTGAACAGGCCACTTCTAAAGCTCTGCCAGCTCTCTGCTGATTTCCTGGAGGTGAGGCCGGCAGGGCAACCTAAGGCCCACTCTAGAGAAACCAGCCCTCCGGTAAGGAAAGCTCCCATTTCCGGGGCTGGGAGGTGGTGGAGGAGAGGGAAAGTCTCCACCCTCCTGCCCCTGTCCCAGACTGTTGGGCTAGGACTGCCCTTGGTCTGCACATGCAGCCTGGGTGACCTTAGACCTAGGCCCCCCATCTCAGGCATCTGCATCCACACTGACCTGACATCAGCTACTCCTGGAATAGAATTAAATCTAGCACTTTAAACTGCACTCTGCAGGAAGTTTTGCCCACTGGTGCAATACCTTGTCAGGCCACATTGTCAAATTTCACTTGCACAAAATCGTGTCCTCTGCTTGGACACCTAATGGGTATTAGACAGGAACCAGAGGCATACCTAACCCTCACCCCAGCCCTTTGTCCCGCCTTCCAGATAAGGACACGGGCTCAGAAAAGTTAAGTAACTTGCCCACCTTCATGCCACAGGTAAGTGGCAAGGCGGAACTGCAACTGGTCCCTACTAAACCTGTGCTCTGTTGCACTTTGCACCCAGGGTACCCAGCCCTTCAGTTGTCAACTGAAGAAGGTCACTAAAGGGCCAAAGACACTCTGAGGCTTTTGAAAAGAAACCTCTGGCCAACAGATCTCTAGATGTTTGTTTATTTAATTCTCAATTTTTTTTAGCCCAAGACAGGTTAATTGGGTCCCCCGGCCCTCCTTCCTGCCCACGTTGTCTCAGTATCCCCACCCACCACCAGGTGGGAGAAGGAGGAGTCTTGATTTCTCCTTGCTCCTCTCTCTGTGGGGGGTCCCTTTGGGGTTCAAACCCGCTCCTCAAAAGCAAGAACGGGAGTGACAGGGGCCCGCTGGGGAAGATTCCCGCCTTCTGAGAAGAGTAAAAGGGCCGCCTGTCTGGCTCCCCCGCAGGCACCTGCGACCAAGAGCTTCTGGCCGAGGTACCGCCCCCGGCCCCCGCCCGGGTCCGCGCGCAAAGACAGCACTGGCCCTTTAAGAACGGCGGCGGCCGCGGCGCGCAGGGAGGAGGGCAGGGAGCGAGCGCTCCGAGCTGCGCCGAACTCGCCGGGAACGTCGGGCGCCGGCTCCCTGGCTCGCTCGCTCGCTGCGACCCGCTCCCTGCTCCTCCTCCCGGGACTTCGCGGGGACCTGGGCCCCGTCGGGCGCAGGGCGAGCAGAGTCCCCGGGCGGAAGGTGCGCGCTCTGGGCAGCACCCGGCCCCGGGCATGGACAGAGGGAGGTGGGCGCGCAGGGGGCGCCGCGGGACCGGGCGGCCGGAGCGCTGAGCCAGACAAAGGCTCAGGAGTTGCGCCTGCTCTCGGGAGCCCGGCCCCCGGCGCCGAGGCTGCGGGACCCCGCGGCGGGCGGCTCCAGCCAGCCCCCTCCCCCGCGGGCCGGCCCCGCGCGCCCGGACCTGCCCTGCCCGCTGCTCCTCGGGCGTGGGAATTTGCGAGGGAACCTAAGCGGCTCCGCGGACACCCGGACCGGGAGGTCTGCCGCGCGCCCGCCGGGCGGGGAGCCAGGGAGCGTCGCAAGTTTCCGAGCCGCGTGCGGGGACCCGGTGCCAGCGAGGGAGCGAGCCCCGCGTGCAGCTCCCCGGGCCGGCTCCGAGACCATGGGCAGCGACCGGAGCGCGCCCGGACGGCCGGGCTGGGCGGGCAGCCTCTTTGGCGGCCGGGAGGCGGCGGTGCGGCCGCGACTGCTGCCGCTGCTCCTGGTGCTTGTGAGCTCCCTGGGCCGCGGCGCCGCGGCGGAGGACACTGAAGTCAATGCCGAGGTAGGGACCCCCGCTGCCCCGGTGCGGTGGGCTGGGGGCTTGGGGATGGAGCCACGCCCGCAGCCTGGGAACTGGAGGTGGAAGGCGCGAGGACAAGCCCCCGGCTCCAGAGATGGGGGGCGGGGAAGAAAGGGGGCAGGCTAGCTGCCCCTCCCCAGCTCGCCCTCTGCGGCGCACCTCATCCCGAACCCTGGAAGGATTAGGGCTCGCGTCCACTCTACCCCTACAGCCCTGTCCTGGGCACTGATCAGCCCCAGCCCGGGTCCGGGGAGCCGCTTCTGCCGCCCCCAGCCCTTGCTCCCCTCCTTCCCTCCCTCGCGGGCGGCTGATTCCTCGAGAGCCCTGTGGGCGCGCGTCCACATTCTTTGCGAGTGGGGAGGGGGCTCATTTGGGGGAGGGGGACCACGAGCAGATGGGGCAGCGCTCCCACCTAGGTAGCCTCTGGTCTGGATGACGCTGAGCAGAGAGTGGCGGGCCGGGATGGGGGCAGCCATGGAGAGGTAGCCGAGTCAGGCTGCGGGGGAGCTTTGGAGACTTTCTTGGGCTCTTGCACAGAAGCCGCGCCACTGCCGGGTGGGGTCCAAGAGAGACCCTGTCTCCCCCAGCGCTTCCTCCCACCAGCGCCCCTACGCAAGGCCCAGGTCGGAGATCGGACTCCGCACATCTCTTCAACAGGAGCCCGCCAGACGTCCCTATGGGGCCCCCTCTCTGGATCGGTCCCGTGGGTGACCAATGGCCTCCGGGCGCAGCGCTGGGTCCAAGCTGCTCCCCCGGTTCCATGGGGTCGCCCAGCGCCGTTCTCCGGAGCAGGGACAGTGAAGGCACAAGCTCTGTTGCCCCAGCAAAAGCGGGGTGCGTTCTTTCCCGACGCCCCGCCCGGGACTAGGGAAGGGGAGGATTGGGTGGGAGTGGTAGGGAGAGACCCGCCTCTGCGCGGGCCCAGTAGGCTCGGGCCTTGGTGCCCTTGGGCCGGCCTGGAGCCTCCTCCCGCTGGGGCTGCGGGCCTGAGTGCCGTTTCTATTTGCAGCCGGCCGGTGCTCCCTCCCAGCCCCCGGCGGCTTCCCCACCTCCCCCGGCCGCCTGGGAGATTTTTCCGATGGAAGCCTGCCCTTCCCCGCCCTACTTTAATAAAAGCATGGAGGAAGGGCAGGGAATTCCTCCCAGCTCAAGTTTCACCTCCCAGCCAGTTCCCCACCTGCTCTGCCCTCCTCCCTGGCCGGGCCAGGGAAAGCTGCAGGGATCCAGGCCCTGGCAGGGGGCGGAGTGGGAGCCCATGCCCAGTCCAGCTGCCCCACAGTTACATCGGCAGGCAGGCGGCAGGGGCTTACAGGGGTCTCTTAAAGGTAGGGACTCCCATCCAGGTGGAGAGTGCTATTTGGGCCCACCTGCTGCTCTCTGGAGCAGAGTACCAAATAATTGCAAGTCACAGACCCACCCATGAGTTTATATTAAAAATGACATCTCTGCATTCTTGGACTAAACTGGAATTTGGTGCTCTGCCTTGTGAATCGGCATCCCAGATGGCCAGGCGCTGGGGCACTGGGACCTGAGGTTTGAGGGCCTTCACTCTCTTGTTTGCTTCTCCTCCTCCATCACCCACCTCCTCACCCAGCTGAGGGAGTACCTACAGCCCAGGGCCTGCACTGGTAGATAGCAGTACCCACAGACTATGGTCCTAAGCCTGTGGTGGCACTAGCTAGAGATTCTGTGACTGGCCTGCAGCCCCTTTCTTGGGGGAAAACTTGGGCTATTGCTGGAAGAGACTCTGGAAGGTGTAGGGGACCCCTGAATGTTGGAAGCTAAGGTAGATGGAGGGCTAGAAACAGGCGCGCTGTGCTAGCAATTAGAACTGGCTTTGGGGTCTGGGCCGTTCCTTGGAGCCCATTGAGTCTGGTCTGATCTGCCCAAGGAATTGAATGGCTTCAGCAGCCAGCCCATTTGCCAGGAAGCTGTGGGAGAACGGTCCCCGGGTCCATGCCGAGGACCAGCCTTAGAGACTTCCTAGCCTGGCCTGTACCCTGAGTTCAAAGTCTCCTTCCCTTGATGAAGGACTCTGGTCCTTGCCCCAGAATGTCCACAGCTCCTGACCTCAGGTCAGGTCAAGGCTGGGACCTTCTCTGAGCAGCTTGGCAACTGAGCCAATGGCATCCCCTCTCTCCCTCCCAAGACAAACCACAGGAGTTTTACCAGACTAAGGAATCCAGGAGCCAGCAGACACCTGCTGCCTGCCAAGCCCCAGCCTGGAAAGGGTCCTTGGTAGGCCACAATTGAGCTACTCTGCCCTGACCCACTCCCTACCGTGGATGTCAGCTCCCAGTCTCTAGCCATTCTGGGCTGGAGCTCTACTCCCCTGCAGAGACCCATCCTGCTTGAAAGCCCAGGATCCCCCCCAGCCACCTTTGTCCTGCTCTTTCAAATCTCTGTCCTGCTCTTTCTACAGCTCCTGACCTGCTCAAGTGCTTTAGTTTTCACTTTTCCCCCTTCCCCCTCCCACTTCTTCCCTAGGGACAACTTCAGGCCCTCAGCCCTCCCCATGGAGGTGACTCAGGCTGCCAGAGTTCACAGGTGTGGTGCCAGTGCCACTCAAACATGGACACACCCACATTCAAGACTCCTGCATATCTTCCTTGTCCCTACTTAGTGGCTGAGCAGAATGAACAAAAAGACAGGTGGGGGCAGGGGGTTAGCTTGAACTCTGATTTTGACCTTCAGATCTGATTGGGTTGCTCAGCCCCAAGCTACCTGTGCTCCAATCCCAGCTTACACCTCCCTGCTGGCCCCCGGTGCTCTCCTATTAGTACCCTTTCTTAAATGTGGAGCAGAAACATGGAGACTCCCTGGGCCCACTGTCAAGGGAAAGGGGTTAATACAATGGCCTTGTTGTTGGGAACCTGTAGAAGCTGAATCTCCATCTCCCTGCCACCTCTGCTTTCTAGTCTATTCTCCTCTTACTACTAACAAACCATTCCTTCCCTCACCTTGTTTCAAAACCCAGAGAGACCTGGGCTGATGGGCGCAGCCAGCGACCTGGGATCCACTTGGGCCAAGCCCTTCACTCCCAGCTCTTTCCAGGTCCCTCTGTTTGGGCTGCCTTAAGGCCCAATCAGGCAGTCACTTCCTTGCAGAGAACAGCCTAGCATGTGCCCCTTGTCTGAACGGTGTCTGTGCCTGACCTGCCCCTTCTGACGTGTGGCTGCAAATGCTGTCTTTGCTCCATCCCAAGGAGCCTGGAGAAGAAACAATATAAAAATATACCCAGACCTCCGCAAAGACTTCCTTTGAAATCTTAGCCCCCATTTTCTCTGGCCCATCTTTTCCGATCCCAACTCAGAATGTCAGTGCTGCCAGGCATGGAAAACCCCCTCCCTGCCAGCAATCGGTCTGCTCAGTCCTCCATGCCCCTGTTGTTGCCAGACCCAGGTGTTCCCAGCCATCATGTCCTCTGTCCATCAGGGAGTTTGACTTCTGCCTGAGGCTAGCTGTCATGGTCACTGTGGGGCATCACTGCTCAGATTAAAGTGGGTGCTATTGACGGAATGTTTGTGCCTCCTCACCCAAATCCTTATATTGAAACCTAACTCCCAAGGTGATGGTATTAGGAGGCAGGGCCTACAGGAGGTGCTTAGGATATCAGGGTAGATTAGTGCCTTGAATGGGATTAGTGCCCTTATGAAAGCTGCCCAAGAAAGCTCCCTTGTCCCTTCCAGCACGTGAGGACACAGCAAGCAGGAAGTGGTCTGCAGCCAAGAAGAGGGCCTTCACCAGAACCCAGCCATGCTAGCACCCTGATCTTAGACTTCAAGGCCCCAGATCTGTGAAAAATAAATGTTATAAGCTGCCCAGTTTACAGTATTTTTGTTACAGCAGCCTGGGCTGTCTAAAACAGTTGTCATCTTCAATATCGTCCTATGATTCATGTGGCTCACGCAGCTGGCCACTCAGGCAGGGGCCAAGCCCCAGTGGCCAGCTCCGCTGTGGGCATGGAGGTGTGTTCTTGGGGTCAGCAGAGGCAGAGAGACTTTGGGGGCTCTCTGCTGGGATCCTTCTCCATCACACAGAGGGCCCTGGGAGGACTTTGTGCTGAATGTAAGGACCTGGGGCCCTGAAGGTGACTGAACACTTCAGGCCCACAGCACACACCTTCTAGAGTGCCTTCTAGCCAGACTCACCTCCCTGAGTTAGGGCTCACATGAGGCTGCGCCCCAGGAGGACAATTGTCCCAGAGATGCCTAGAGACCAGCAGCCATGGGAACCTGTAGAAGCTGCATCTCCATCTCCCTGCCACCTCTGCTTTCTAGTCTATTCTCCTCTTACTACTAACAAACCACTCCTCCCCTCACCTTGTTGGGGAGGTAGCACACATTTTGCATCCCTGGGCAAGAATAGCAGAGACACACACGCTGGGCCTAGATCAGAGAGGCAAAGAGGGGTGCCTCTTAACCAGATCCCATCTCTCTCGTGGGGACAGCAGGGAATGAGTGAGAAAACCCAACTCAACCTCCAGTATCTGGACAGACAGATGTGGACCTTGGTACCAGCCATCATCTAGCTCTTGGAGTTACCCCACATCCTACTGTCATCTGATGGTCAAGCTACCAGAGCTGTGGAGCCTGGAGGCCAGGGTCTGGATCAGCTCTCCAGGGCGGGCCCTTAGCCCTGGGCATTGCCTTGTCCTTCTTCCAAGAGTGACTGCCACCCTGGAGGGGTAGGAGCCCAGCTTCATGCCCAGTACTTACAAGCATGGCACCTGGTACATAGGAAGCACTTGCAAAATGGTGGCAAAATGCAGTGACATTTGCCACTGGGGAGGTCACTGAACCTTTCTGAGCCTCAGTTTCCCTTCCTATAAAATTAGAGTAGTAAGAGCATCTACAGAATGGAGTGGTTGGGGAGATTCAGTGCATTTATGTGTAAAATGCTGAATGCCATGCACTGTGGCCCTCACCTGGGGCCCAGTGAGTATCAGATGTTATTTTTTGAGCACCTTCAACATATTTGGT